GTCTTCAAGTAACTTAAAGAAGTCCAGACGCTTTTCCTTGCAAGCTCCTTTGACTACGATGACCTGGATGACTGAGAACCTTCACAGACAAAAGACGGGAAGCAAAATGAAAAGATGTGAAAGGCAAACAAGGAACTCAGTGGAAAATGGGGAAAGAAAGGAATCAATAGAAAACAAAAACAATGGAAAGTTAAAAAAAAAAAAAGGCCAAGAAGAAAAAAGAGGCACGACAAACAGGAAGAGTATTTGAGCTTAAGGACATGCGTGAGTCACACTGTGAGTCCTGCTGCAGTGCCGGTGACCTTAAAGCTAGAGTCCGTAGCGTTTTACCGTACAGACTCCATACTGTCCTCATGAGAAGTTGCTCTGTGGGCTGCACCGAACAATCTGAGTCACAGAGGAGCTATTCTTACCGAGCTAAGAATACAACTCGCAGCAGCATCTCAAACAGCTCCACACAAACAAATCCTGCACAGCAAACAGCACAGACACCGGCCCTCCACCAGACCGGCAGCACTCCACACAGGAAAACATTGCATTACTGACATCTTCATATCTCCAGCGTGTAAAATAAATCCCCTCATGTTTGTCACTTTCCTATCCTTTCTTTTCCTTTCCTGCTCTATTTTCTTTAACATACATTTTCCCTTCTTTCTTATTTCATTTTTCCTATTTAACAGTTTTCTGTTATTCTGTTTTCTGTTTGCTTTCCTATCATGTTGTTTTCTCGCTTAACTTTGATATTTTTTCTTTACTCCCTCTCCTATGCGTTGTCCTTTCCGCGTTTTATTTTCCTTTTAGTTTCCTCCCTTAACTTCCACCACTTTTGTGAATTTTGTCTTCTACCTTCAACACTCCTTGTCTTGTGTTGTTTTTTTTCCTATTTCTTTTCACCTTTCCTTACATTTCTTCATCTTATGTCTTTCTTTTCTTTTGTCAAAGATTGTTTCTTTTATCAGTCTTTGTTCATTGAAAGTTGGTTTTATTTGTTTATACCTTTCGTTTACTTCGACTTATTTTAATTTATTTGACTTTCCACCTTCCTTTATTCACTTCCATTATCATTTTTCCTTTTATTAATCTTAATTGGCACAAACAGTACTGAATAAAACAGGTTTTGTAGACTCTAACGAACAAGCTGTCATTAGAGTCTATAAAGCGTTCCGTAGCATGTTTTTGGATAAATGTTTGGGACTTTTTGGTTCACATTTCTATGCTCATTTTCATCACAGTGATCTGAGTGTTGATGTAGAGCAGCTTCTCTTTTGGACTCTATGAGCTGCTTCATATGTCAAGCTATTTTAGAGCGGTCACATCTACACGTGCTGCTGCTCTTCTGCAACATTTGTTCCTGGAGTTTGACTTTGCTCGTGTTGATCCTGTGCTCAAGTGTTATTGACTCCCAGGCATGAAAAAATGTGCAGAGATATTATATTACACTGTTCAAAGTGCTGACACTGAGCTTTCCAAACACTGCACAGCTTCAAATGAGCCTGTGCTTCTAACATAAGATATGATGAACTTATAAAACACAGCAAATTTGAACATTGTAATTTTCAAGTTTGTAAATTAGTTCAGACTAACTCTACCAACGACAACAGCAAATGAATTATTACATTTAAAATTGTAAAAAGCTGGTGTATATCACCTGCCATCTGCTATTTTAGAAAGCTCCTTAAAAACAGTACAAGCTGATAAAACATAATCCATCCATCCATTTTCTCATGCCAATGCAGGTCTAGTTCCTGTTGGAGGCAGTCAAAACAGAGACAGATCTCACAGCTACCTCCAGCTCTTCTGGAGGAACATCAATGCATTCCCAAACCAATCCAGAAATAAAGTCCCACCACTGTTCTGCGTCTACCCTGCGATCTATTCTCAGTTGGAAATGCTTGTATCACATCACCAGGTGATGTGATGGTCAGATGACAAAACATCTCAACTGGCTCCTCTTGACGTGGAGGAGTAGCAGCTATACTCCGAGTCTCATCCTAATCACCAAGCTCCTCACCAGATCTCTGAGACTAGAGACCAGATACCCTTTGAAGGAAGCTCATTACCACCACTTATATCATGTGAAATTAGCAGTAGAGAAATCAGTAGAGCTGTTGCTCTGTAAGACATTTTGCTTCTACTCGACCACCATCATAGTTTTCATGAGAAATGTAGATAAATGTGTTTATTCAAGCGTCTTTAGGTCATTAACTGTGGCTTTGTGGCATTTACATGAGAAGCTATTAAACTGATTGTAAAAATACATAAACAGGTTGGTCGTCTGCAAAGAAAATTTCACCTTACAGACAAACAGTCCACATGGAGTGCTTTTAAATGAATCACAGGAACTGGTTCATCTTTGAAGATTTATTGAAACTGCTGTTATATGACGATAATCAGAATGGACATATGTCGTTGACTAACCTTGCATAGGTTACAGACTATGCCTCAACAACAAATGACAAACGCTGTGCTCTCCAGTAAGAGCCTTTAAGATTAAAAAAGCAATAAAAGCAGAGTAAAACAGACGTATTGCGATGTTGATGACTGCGGAGTTCAAGGAGGATCTCAGCACCCCAGCAAAGGGGAAACAAGTACGTTTATCATATTATTTTGTAAATGATGACTTTGGCTTGAGACTAAGAGGGAACAGACTTACTTAAGCTAAATGTTAAGCCGAACATAATTCGTCCCAAAGTAACCAGCTGGAAATCTTTTTATGAGTTTCTAAAAAGACAAACAATCATTAGAGTGTTTGTTTAAGCAAAAATATATCTCCACCAGCATAAATTTATGTTAATGTTAAGTTCATGCAGTTCAGTCTTCACTCATCCATGCACCTTCTCTTTACACTGCAGTGCTGACAAAAACCATCAGCACATAATCACATTTTTTCCAAAAATCCTTGAAACACATTTACATACTTTTTATAATTCTGCATCATAAGAATCATTTTCACTTGCGTCATGGCTTTTTAAATATCACAAAAACCTACGGAACATGACATAAGACAGAGTTTCTCAACCCAAAATCTGTTGGGTTAACTGTTGCAAATTGTGATGTACATTTTCTCTTCATTTTGAAGGCTTAACTCACTTTTATGGTCAGAATATAATTTAAAATCAGTTATATATTTGAATTTTCACCGCTGAAAAATGCAATGGTGAACTTTCACAAGGAAGTTTCAATTTATGCCCTCTTCCAGATGATTACAGGCATCAACCCTTCATCAGCTATATAAGGTCATTCACTAAAAGTCATTCAAAGGTCAAGATTAATTATTAATTTTAATGTTGCAAAATTAAAACATAAACTATATTTATTTTTTTCATAACTGCTTCACCTATAATTTTCATTATGCTCTCCTTGAAGTTTCAATTTTAAAGAAAATTCCTTCTTCCATCTTAATTCAGTGGCAATAAAAAGCTTAAATATTGCTGAAAAATTCTCCAGAGATATTCAATTTAGAAAGAATCTTCACCACAAACCCCACAGATGTTGGTATTCATCAATAATTAGTAAAGACTCTTAATGTCTGATTTTAATGGAATGGAAACAATCACAGTCGGTAATGTTCCAACAACTGATTTCTTGCTTCCTGCACTCTGTGTTTGCACAACACTTTCTGTAATAACTCAGTCTTAAATACACAGATACGGATATATGATCTCCTCAAGGTGGAGAAACTCTGCAGTGATGGCTTGAGTCAGCAGTCCGAATAATATTTGTAAAAAATCAAACATCTTGTAATGAAAACGCAGATAGAATAAAAATGGTTGCTCTGCAGTTCATTTAATGTTGTCATCTGCAAATTAATTAATTGATCGGTTTACGCATGGCAGCTGGAAGCTTCTTAAATAAATTGTGTTTACAGTAGTTATAAAAACTGGACTTTAATTTGAAAGGAAACTTGTTTCTCTTCCTCGCTACTGCATAACCAAATGATAAAGGTTCTAAAAATAACTACACACTATAAAATCTCTCCAAACACATGAGCTTTAATCTAGAAAATGTTTGTGTACCATCCGTGTGTTTAGCTGCTCTGATGATGATTTGGTCCATTCGGGTGCAGATATGTCTCTAACTCTGGCCTGCGGTAAACAAGTATGAACAAACAGAATTTCAAACCACAAGAAGACGACCGATCACCCTGATGTTGGATGTCATCACAAATTTAAACAGCTGTTAAGAAAAAATATAGACATTTTGAATGTGATCCTTCCTTTAAAAACATGTGGAATTTTTAATTTTGCTCCCTAGAACATACTGCATGTTTAAAACGTAGCACCTTCGTTGCATGCATTATTTTTTCCATCAGACTGAAATGTTAATTAAAGGGATTTTTTTTTTCTTCGGCAGTTTATAAGACAAGCCTTAAAGGTAAAAGGATGATGACACACAGCCGAGACGCACAATAAACCTTCCTCCTGATGTTCCATCACTCACAGCAGCAATAAATTTAAAGCTTCAGGAAGCACAAGAGTCCCAAATGAAGCTGTGCTCTGTGCCAGAAGTTAATCTTAAAATAAGAATTTTGGAAATCAGTAACTGTGAAACAAAATACAAACATTTATGCATCAAGAAAACATATTTTTCTTATCAGTATCGTGTAGCAATAAGACAACTTCTCGACAAAAAGAGATCAAATAATAATTTGAATCTAATTCTAATCATAGGCAGGGCTGAAAATAGATGGTTTTTTTGTTTGTTGTTTTTAATAAATGGATGATAGTTGAGTGCAAAAGAGAGACTCCAGTTTGCTTGTGATAAAAATGCTGGAGCACGCAAGAAGGCTCTTTTATCACCATGATGTCAAATCAGATCATTAACACGTTTTCTTGTCAGCAACATCTCAGAGTTGCAGGGAGACACTTCTGTAAACTTTTCTTGTAATGTATAATTCTGCACACAACAAGACTTCTCTCAGTTTATCCGTAAACAATTATTGTGCTTGTATACATCGTGCTAAGCTGAAACTGTTCATGTGCATGAATAAATTAGAATAATTCTCTCTCACACACAAACACACTTTGTGCACAGATTATTAGTGTCTAATAGCGATTCATTTTTAAATTCATCTTTCAGGTGTAAACTTTTATCTTCATATCATCCCCAGCCTGGAATTTGTCCAAACTGTTTTGGTATGAACGATATTATTGCATGCAAAATTAGACTCATTTTAATTTCTGCATCTTATGGAAAAAGTTACCTGAAAATACCAACATGCATGTTTCAGATTATGTAGTCTTTTTCACATTAATAATAGTTTGTGTTTTCAAGGTTAATAGCCAAGAAAGCATAAATATAATCTTGTGTGTTGCGTTTAACTTCATTTTGTGACTAAGTGCAGACTGATGAGTAAAATATGGCACCACATATACATTTTCCTACAGTAATAATTAAAACATGGTGGTTACATAAATAAATAATTTATTTATTAACTTGAACTCTCTGTTTTGTGTTTTTAGTGATTAATGTTGTCGGTCCCAGGTCCAGTCTGCACATGTCCACACAGACTTGAGTGAAAACAGCTGTGTGGGTGGCTGCAGAGGACTCCTCGGGTCACTGCTGCTCTGACTCTGAGGTTCAGCTTCAAATGTAACAGCAGCCTGAAAGTCTGCAGGTGTTTTTATCTGAAGTGAGGATCAGGATCAAAATCCAGCATTTTTATCCTTGATATTTTCCCACCAGAGAAACCTGATAACATTCATGTTCGTATTTCTGTGAAATAGACATGAGTCAGAATGTCGTTATAGCGACCACAGCAGAGCGGGCCAGCCTTACAAACTGAATAAAAAACACCGGCACAGTACTGGAAAAGTTGTGGCAGTACCTTCTAAAAGTTAAGGAAAGTTCAGGGGCGAGGCTTCCCACGCCAAGAACCTGTGATTGGACAGTTATTAATGACATTTTAAGCCTTGTCTCAAATCACTTTGAGTGAGTTATAAACGCTCCCAGCTGACCAAAAATGAAGCCTGTGTTTCCTCTGATGTCCACATGGTACAGTTGATATTTTATAAGTGTGTGTGTGTCCTGATCCTTTCCCTCTAGTGTGCCCTCACAGTCATGTTGTTGACTGGATGGATTTTTGGACACTTGGATGCAGTCTAAAATATTTTGTAACACTAAAAGTGATGATTAATCACTTACACCTGTTAATGTCACTAAAAATTGACCGTGTGGAATTAAAGTCAATGTTTTAACAGAAAAAAATATCACAGCAGTCTTCCCTGACACAGGCAGGTTCTCCCCTGTACGAAGAGCAGTGCCATTTTGCTGGCATGCTAAGTGACTAACGCCCGTGGTAATGTTCAGACGCTCTGCAGAGGAAACACTGAGGTCAGATCCACCATCATCCACACACAGGCAGAGGCTTTTTTCCTTTCACTCAGGACAAGCTTAGTAAAAAGCATCACAAACATGGCAGTGACTAGAGGCAGGTGAAGGTGTTACAGATCGATGACAGAAGTATCGTTCTCTGCAATTTTTTCTCTTTCCAAAGACTCTGGTCAAATCTCCAGCAGTTTTTGGTCCCCGGCATCAGAAGGTGGCAGTGTTCTGCTGTTCTGTTCAGTTCATAGGCTCCCTAACTTCATCGAGGACGCCCACGCCATGTTTGTATTCACAGATTGCCAATAATTGTTAGATTTTTAAGAAATTTCTCTGAAAGTGAGGTACTTTTTTTGGTGAAACCACAAAATCTGCATTTTGCACTAAAACCCAGGTACACTTGTAAAATCTAAAAAATGTGACATAATTGAGAAAGAGCTTTGTAATAAATAGAAATCGTCACCTGTTTTACATGGCAGTTTTTGTAAAGGCAGGAAATGTATGACTTTAGATTTCAAAGGTGTACCTAACAAAGTGGTCTTTGAGCTGTCACTTTTTTGACTTTTCTTCCAAATTAATTTTGGTTCTTTAAAAAAAGTGAGAATAATGAGCCATAATTAGCACCAGTTATTGATCCCATGCTATTTTAAATGTATTTTTCTGTGTCGTTTCTGTGGCTATTTAAAAATGTTTGTTACCTTAATCAGTGTATACAGTTCTGTGAATTTAGCTGGTATAAATAAGAAACAAATTTCATTAGTTTCATGTGTCTGAATAGGTATTTTGCTCCCTTAGCAGCTCATTGAAGTGCCTTCTTTTAGCATTCATGTGAAGAATTAAAGGAAGAATTGATGTTAAGTAATTTAAAGGTTAAGGCAGCAGGAAGAACTTTAGTGGTGCTCGGCTTTTATTCTCGAAGGCTCGGAGCTCGAGTGGAGGGTTAAACACCACCTCAGTGTTTGGATGATGGTGGATGAGGGTGCTGTTATAATCCCTCTTTGCTGTGCACAGAGGAGGGTACCTACATCCAACCAAAGCCTATCCAGACTTCAGCAGCAGAGTCCAGACTACTAATTTAAACCTGAAGCTTATGTGCTCTGACATGGGCACAGATCAGATCACAGTCTGTAGGAACCTTCAGACAACATGCGAACTACGACACTATGACAGAGGCAGCCTCACCGCAGGGTTTAGCTCTTCACTGCTCTTTCTCTGCTCATCACACCTCATCACCCGATCACCGATTGCCTCTTTCCTCATATCTATTGTAAGTCACTCTGTCAATCACTCTATAATATCCCTCTTCATACACCTATAAACAGATGTACTGCACCAGCATGAGGGTCACCATCCTCAAACTGTCAGCCTTGGTTTGTGACCGTTTCCTTCATGACTTTCTATTAAATCGAGCTGTTTGACCTTTCTGTCCTGTTCTAATTGAACCAGCTGAGCAGCTCCTGTCCTTCAACAGTCACTCCATCTGAACATCCAACACATCACCTCCATGTTACTTTTCTAATGGGTAATATCTGGAAGGTCTGAGTGTCCGTGTGGTATACATACCATCAAACTCCAAATGTACCAAAAATAAGGAAATCTTAAATGATCCATATTTGAACTTTCCTGCACGAATGCTGTGTGTCATCATCCCAGAAAGCTTTTCTTTGTGTTTTTTAGGCCCAGGAATCAGGACTAAATTCTGAACATGTGGGTTCATCTGTGTTCAGTTCCATATGTGCAGGGAGCAGTGCATCTTTTTGGCAGGAGAAGCTGCACACAGTAAGCTCTTTGATTTTCTCTTGGAACGGGAGGCACTTCAGTCAATTTTAGAACGAGAAGGGCTTCAAGGCACTAAGACGCTAATTATAGATATATCTATGAAATTTGTTAAATATTACTGCTTTCCTTCTTGGGGTCATAAATCACATGAAATGATCCCATGCACTCCAAGATCAAAGCTTTAAACAAATGAAAACGGAGGATGGAATTTATAAGATCTTTTTTTTTTTAGAGATCATCGGCTATATCTCATTTTTTTTCTTAATTTGTTTTTCTTTTCTTCTTTTTTAGGAGATTTGTTCCCTCCGACAGTTTAGCTCCATCATGCACCAAATTCTGTCTTTAGTGCGACAATAATGAGAACACACATCATCATCATCATCATCCTCCACCTCCCCAGGTCCCTCCCAACTGCAAGCAATTTAATACTGACGTCATGCATTGAATATACGTAGCTATACCATAGCTAATTAGGCCATAATGCTTTAGTATTTTGACATGCCATAATCTTCAAAAGAAGAAGAGTTCCTGTTCCCTTAAACATTCAACACTTAAATGCTCTGAAACAACTGAAATGATAAGAATAAGCAGCCAGTGCACTTTTGGTGAAAACAAATGAGAGAAAAAATCCAGGAGCGGGAGATGGAGCTCGACGCACAGAAGAATGTAGAAATAAAATGAGGTAACGTCTTGTGCATGCCGATATAAGAGAGAAGAGAGTCTCCACATGCTTCTATATAAAGGAGTGTTGCATGGCATCATACAGGGAACCTCCAGCCGACCCATAGCAGCAGCAGCGATGCACGTAATCCTTCACAAGGCTCGGCACGCTTCCTGTTTATCTCTGATAAGGTGCCTGAAAAGCCGGGGTCTACATCCGGCGTCGCATTTTCCAAACTTTCCCTGGATGTGCCGCAGAAAGACACACCTGAAATAATCCACGCAGAAAGCGTTTCTTCAGGGAGGAAATCGTTCTTCGAATCTCAGTTGGGCTTTAATTATTTTTTTCTGTTCCTTTTTTTTCCTGAAAGTTCGGTCTGTTGCACAAAACTTGGCAGGTGTCGGGAAGACATTTGATTCATTATTGTACAATTAGTCATTTCTACTATTAAATTCACAATATATGCCTTGCATATATGTCATTGTCTTAGCTTGCTTTTGATAGTTTCTGAATCTTTTCTGTTACTTTTAAACCTACATTTGATCCATTTTTTTCTGTGGCGTAATATCTCTTTGTCAAACAGTGCAGCACAGATAAAAGTTGTATTGCTTTGCTCTAAAGTTTTTCTTTTAATTCATCCTAAATTAAATCGTAATTATGAAAGGATTCTCAGAGGATATTACCGTAATAACTCTGATAAAGGTGCACTCCATCAGGTGAGTGTTTCCCTTCCAAAAGGATGTGTTTTCTTTTTACACTGAGCTGGAAGAATGGTTAAAAGTGATATAAAACAGGAAGAAGAAATACTCTTCCTTTTCCATCTCTAGTTTGGGACAAAACACTGCATTTCCCAGGATGCAATGTGGGTATCTGTTTTGCAGCCTTTTCATATCTTTAAAATCCACAGGTCCAGTTTTTACCACAAAATTTAGTGTAGATAAACTGACAAGTTGAGACATTTAAACTAACTTCTGAGACTGTATATAAAAGATGGATGTAGCCAGTGTGACGATGGCACACTTTGTTTTGTGAAGCCTCGTTTGAAGCCAGTTTGGAATCTGAACATGAAGCATGAGATCTGGGATGAATGAGGAACCGAGGGACACGCTCAGACAGTCACGAGGAAGCTCTGTTCTAGCTCCGCCCCTCTTTTATCGTCCCATATGACTCGAACAGGACCGTAATTTCCAAAGTGTTTTAATCAGTAAGACGTGAAACCAGCAACTGAGAGCATAAACTCATCAGGAAAATATTGCTGAACTGAGAAGTCAGGTAAGCAGTAGGCTCATTTTCTCATAGACTTCTCAAAGAGGGGTCATCCGCTGCAGAAGAAGGAATGTAGGTTCAAGCCACCTCAGCACTAGCTTCACTCTTTATACCTTTCATCCATATTTTTATATACAGTCTATGGAAATTCTTGACCAAAAGTAAAATTAGCAAAGCTTCCATTTAATGTTTAGACCATTAGAAAATCGAAGGGTGCAAGTTACTAAACTTTGTCAATAATTTCTCAAATGTTTCCCCGAACCTGCAGACTTTTGTACTATTGCCAAACAAATGTTTTTCTCTTTTTTTTTTTTTTATAATTTGACCTCATGTGCATTAAAGTCTCCACAAATGTCTGAATGAATCAATGCAAAGATGAGAATAAAATGCACCAATGGATATAAAGCATCCAGATATTTCTACAATATTTACAGCCGTGGTCGCATGCCGCCTCACACGTCAGTGAGCAGCTTGCCCTTGTTAACACAGTTCTGGCTGGGAGCTGTGCAGTTGGCAGTCCTAAGGTTAGCTTCCCTGAAGTTGTCAATGCTGTTGTTTAAGTCCTCGTCTATCTCCATGTATTCCGACTTGCTGACCACTGAGGAGCTGCGGCGACTCGAGTTGGTGTCTGACGCCAAGTTCTGGTTGCTGACGTTGAGCAGCTGGGCCTGCTCCTCACCCTCTGTCTCCCGGTGGTAAAAGTAGTTGAAGTTGGACACGATGACTGGCACCGGCAGCGCGATGGTTAACACTCCGGCTATGGCGCAAAGCGAGCCGACAATCTTCCCTCCGATGGTCACAGGGTACATGTCCCCATAGCCGACTGTTGTCATCGACACCACAGCCCACCAAAAAGCATCTGGGATGCTGGAGAAGAACGAGTCCTTCTCCTCAGCCTCCGCAAAGTAGACAGCGCTGGAAAACAAAATCACGCCAATGAAGAGGAAGAAAATGAGCAAGCCCAGCTCCCGCATGCTGGCCTTTAGAGTTTGCCCCAGAATTTGGAGTCCCTTGGAGTGTCGGGACAATTTAAAGATCCTGAACACCCTCACCAGACGGATTACCCTGAGAATGGCCAAAGATGTGGCCTGCTCCCCACCACCCTTACCCTCCCTGTTGCCTTGGTCGTCGGCCAGCTCTGTGCCAAGAGTGATGAAATACGGGATTATAGCCACAATATCGATAGAGTTCATCATGTTTTTGAAGAACGCTGCCTTGCTGGGGCAGGCAAAGAACCGAACTATCAACTCAAAGGAAAACCAGATGATGCAAAGCGTCTCCACCACAAAGAAAGGGTCTGTGAGGACGCTTGCTTTGTAGTACATAGTGGTGTTGCCGACCATGCGAATCCGGTCGTTGGGATCCTCCTTCAGCTCTGGTAATGTCTCCAAGCAAAAAATTACTATTGAAATAAGAATGACCATCACCGAGACAATGGCGATACCCCGAGCTGGCCCCGAGCTCTCTGGGTGCTCGAAGAGGAGCCAGATCTGCCGCTGGAACTCGTTCTCAGGCAAAGGTCGCTCTTCCTCCCGAATAAACCCCTCATCCTCCCGAAACTTCTCCATTGCCTCAGCACCGAGTTCATAAAACTTTATCTCCTCTGAGAACATATCCAGCGGCACGTTGACCGGCCTCCTCAGCCGTCCTCCTGACTGGTAATAGTACAAGATGGCGTCAAAACTCGGGCGATTCCGGTCAAAGAAGTACTCGTTTCGAAGGGGGTCAAAGTAGCGCATCCTCTTCTTAGGGTTCCCCAGTAGGGTTTCCGGGAACTGGGCGAGGGTTTTCAGCTGGGTCTCGAAGCGCAGCCCTGAGATGTTGATAACCACCCGCTCACAGCAGTCATGGTTGTCATGGTCATCATCAGGCGGGTAGGGGTCCTGCGGGTGACCTGGCAGGGTGGAAGTCTCGTCCATGTTTTCTGTGGACACCACAGTCATCCTTCCTGGCGGGTGGAGGAGAGAAAGAGGAAGTTTAGGTGTAGAGGAGAGAAGGAGGTGGTAGGCTGGAGTGGAGAAGCTCCTACTGCGGCCAGGAGCTATGGAGAACCTCCCTCTCCATCATCATCATCATCCTCAGCACTATCGCCCTCACATCTCTTTTTTCTCACCTGAAAGATAGAAAAAATGACATGCCGTCACTCAAACATGGTTTTATTTCACCACAGACATGTTTCATTGGCTGGAGAGCTTCCTGTTGTTGAGAGGGAAGAAAAAAAAATCCTGCAGCACCTCCAGAAGCCGCGCTGCATCTGCTGTAATTTTACCGCATACATCAGTACTCGAGTTTGCAGCCCCACTGCGCATATCACTCAACCTTCAGCCACGAAAAGCTTTTCACCTTCACACCAACACACAGTTTCAACCTGAATCCAAGTGATGAAGATGACACATAAAACCCACCTGAGCAGAGCTGGAGAGCAGCAGATGGAGATCCTGTGCACCTTCCCCAGCCACCCGCCACAACCTGGGGTTTAATATCGCTTTACAGTAGCTCTGAAATATTAATAGACTATGTTGTCTTGGTCAACATCCGTATCCTCTTGGTGTAGGTTTTCAGCGTCGATTGGAGAAGCCCGCAGAGAGAGGAGGAGCAGGAGGAGAAAGAAGAGAAGGAGTAGGCTTCAGACAGCAAAAATCCTGACTGACAATTTCTTAAAATCATGCTGGAAAAAAGATAGAACTCCCAAGAAGAGCTGGCTCTCAGTCTGAAGGGGAGGACTGGGAGGACTTGGCACTGCAGCAGCATCCGCACTCAGAGACTCTCGTGATTTTCTCTGCGGTAAAAACGGTTAAAAAAAAAATCCGAGGCTTTGAAGGAAAACCGGCTCAGGAGAGAGTCCGCGTCCGGGAATTTGGAAGCATATTGCAGGATTTCATGAGGAGAAAGACAGAGAGAGGGAGAGGGAGAAAATAAGTGAGCGACAGAGGGAGGGAGGGGAGTGAGGAAGAGGAGGAGGGGGGGTTCGACGCAGTGCAGACAGACTGTAAAAGCCAGCAGGTGCTCCGGTCCTGAATGTGCGCACAAACAGCGGAGAGTCGTGCAGCAGGTCGAGCTGAGCTGCTCGGCTCCTGTCCGTCAAGTTCCGCTAAAATCCACATGAAGGATCCGCGGACACGCGCCCCACAACGGCAAGAACGAGAGCGAAAGAAGCGCACTGCATCATGGGTTATGTAACCAGTTCGACGTGTTTGTGCTGCAGGTGTCTCACAGCGAGCAGGTCTCAGGTTTGACTGCAGGAATCTGCAGAGGATCAAACTGGCCTCTGTAATTGGCTGCTGAGCAGTTTGCGACAGTCAGACCTGCATGCTGGTGTAAATACCTCCGTGTTGCTATGGAGACAGAGAAAAATCAGCAGACTTCATCTGCTCTGACTGTGTAACAGAGAAAAATCAAGAATAAAAAAACAACTTTATTTAAACACGCAGAGAGCCTCATACATGAGAAGAAATATAATTATCACCATCAGGTATGGAAGCTCATTAATGCCAAGAAAAGAAACACCAACAAAGTGGAATGAATTACAAAAACAAAATCCAGGGGGAAAAAAAGTAAAAGCATCCTGAATTTTATTTCAAAGATCGAAAATACAAAAGAATTTATTCATCATATATTTACAGTCAACATCTAAATTACTTGAAACAAACTGTTCTAGCAGCTAAAAGGACAGAGACCCTCAAAAATATTTAGCTTACAGAAAACAATGGAAAACTTGCCAATGATCAACTTAAAGGCTATCATGTTAAAAACTAAGAGTCAGATTAATAAAATAATTTGACTATTAAAATATGTTAACCCTCTGGGGTTCGCTGGGTTGCCGTCAAAATCACATGACCAATTTAAAACGACACAGCTACAAGATGCAGTAAGTCAGAGTCTCCATTTCAACTTGGGTCGAAAGTGCAGACTTCAAACTACATACCAGTTTTTGAATTGTGTCGATGGGCCACGTAAAACCAGAGTTGTGATAAAAAAAATACACACGATGTGTAAACAGTGGCGTTTACAGTGGGAAGGACTGTAAAAATGGCGTTTTCTACAGACAGCGCTAGCAAACACTCTCCGCTTGCGAGTGAAAAGAAAAAAAGAAAAAACACCCCTTCCCTGTTGGTGTTAGATTTGACCATGTCAGCCAATCAAAAAAAATGATATGGCAAACATGTGACATTTGGTTGTTTAGGGAGAAGGGGAAGTTTTTAGGAGTGACACCTGCGACAGAAAGCAGGTGAGCGAAAGACAGAGAGAGCTAGTATTCATATGTGAGACATTAGTGACATTTAGGGTGTTTGGAGGCTGTAGTTAGTTTGTTGTGTAGTTATTGTTTTGTATTGTGTGTCAGTTAGACTGCTGAATTTCATATTTGCTCTAAAAAAAAGCCGTCAAAGGCAGATTCCAGTGTAAACGCTGTTCCCACATGGAAAACTGGACTGATGCACCTCCTGCTGTCAGACCTGCAGGGTTTAGGCCTTTGGTGTTCTCCTCTGTCTTATACTGAACACAAACTACATTTTTGGACTGGCACAAATAATTTGTGTGCCTTCTTATTTGATGCAGCACACCTGATTGTTCTGTAAATAGATTTAAATGGTTATATAAAAAATGCCTGAGGCCTTGGCTGCTTTTTAGAATAGTACCATATAACTTTGTTGTTTGCAAAACTTGTGCATAATTTTTAGAAATGTACAATTTCTATTTGCATTTCAAGTTATGAAAATGATTCCTTAAACATGTTTGTAGATTTTACAGTAAAAAATATAAATTTTTTCTACTCAGATTTTGAATTTTTTGTCTGAATTTAGATCAACTGTGCTAATATAGTATGCCAAAATGAAAAAATAACTAAAATTTCCGATATTTGAGGTTGTACTGAAAATAATGATACCAAACAAGGCAAGAAAAACATATTTTAAAGGTGAAATATAGAGGTAAAATAGTCAAAAACGGCCAATTATACCCTGAGACCCCAGAGGGTTAATGACTCATACAAATATATGACTAATTGTTTTTTTAAAGTAAACTTTAAACTACATATGCTGTTTCGAGGATTTCATTTTTGTGCAATTTTGCATGTTTTTGTTGTTTTTGTTTTTTGTTTTTTACAGCGCATTGTGTTCTGCAACCTGATTGGCTGTAGACCATTGTCAATCAATCTCGTGCCGTGTCTCCTGTACAGTACAGAATGTGTTCAGCTTGTCAAATTTACATAAATCTTAAATCACTAGCAGTATGACTCTAAAGTACTGTACTGTATGTTTGTAAGTTTTCTCCCCAACAAACACAACAATGTCAACGGAATGTTTTGCACCGTCAAAGGCACCTGTGGGTGACTTTGGTTTCATTCTATAATACTGGACTTATTTTTCTACAAAGGTTTGAACTTTGAGAGTGTTTAAACAAGAGAGAAAAGTGTGAAAATGTTCATGCCTGTCTGAGAAAAGTGTATAAAGTGTGTAGTGAGGGGTTTTACAGCCTTAAAACATCTATAATGGCTACTTCACAGATTTCACCTATCGCGGGTTATATTTGGAACGTAACTCTCGTGATAACCGAGGGACCACTGTAATTGAAAAAAAAAATCAGTTTTTAAATATTTGAATTTTAATATTTGTTGTTGTTTTAGTTAAAAAAGTTTATTGATAAACATCAGAATGTCCACCAAATCTTTACTCTTCTGCGTCTTTACAGATATTAATCTTCTTTTTAATAATTAAATTTCATCATCATTTTTATAAAAAATACTGCTCCTGCTATAAGGACTGATCTGTGTGACGAATGCAATGAGGTGATAGTGAGATAAAGGATTTAGAAAAAAGCCCCCAACCTGCAGCCTGAATCGCTCTGAGGTTTAATTTGACTTTATTGAGTTCTTAGCCTCGGTACTGAGTCTGAGTAATCGCACCTGGATCATCGGAGAGGTCAGCTCAGTGGGCTGAGTCTAAGCCAGCTCGTGTGACTTTAAAATTAGAGTCTAAAAAAGATAAAATAGGAAATCTTCTGCGTGCTGTGGATTAACAAGCTGCCTCTAATTTAGATCAATGAGAAGCTTTAAATGGGATGTATGAATCAGAGGAAATCTGCAGGTGTAAATGTCTATAAATAAATCCTGTTAGTTCATCTCCAAACCTTCTGACTTTGCTCTAAATTGATATTTTTAACTCATAAATATATAGTGCCAGCTTTAGACACACTGATTCTTTCAATAATTTGTTAACATTTTCAACCCACAGTTTCTGCTTTGCAACTCGACTCGGCTCCAGCTCCACCTTTTTAGGCATTTTCATAAAAGATAAAAGGACAACCTCACTAATTGCTTTGAAATGTGAAACTAACGCTGAAGTACTTTAACCTGCATTCTTTTTGATGTGCACCAGGGGGCGAAGGTAAAGAGAAGTCTAATTGTTTTATAGTTCATCAGAAAATGAGCTTTGTGCTTATGGCGTTATTTTTGTGCCACTATTCTGAGCGCACGTAAAAAAAATTTGCAGGTGCAAGTGTTGCATTTTGAGGAGAAATTAATTTTGAGCGAAGAAAAGCTGAATTTGAGTGAACAAAATTCATTGCTGCGTGCAAAAACTGTATTTCAGTGTTTGCTATTATCCACACACACACACACACACACACACACAATAGCAGCCCCTCTCGCTCAGTTTTTGCATTTGCACTTGCTTGCAATGTGTTGCTTGGGCTCTCAACATTTCTGTCCATGCGCGTTCAACTCTTTCTGTACACTGTTATATTTGTGCCACAAAACCAGCCAATCACAAACTTGGATGCAAAACACATCTGATTGGCTGTTTTGGTCTCCAATCAGCTCGAAATGATGAAATGCAATATCCCAGAATCCATGAAAATATCTTAAAAGTTTATTTTGTGACCCAGAAAGTAATATTTCAAACTCCGCCACTCTGTGTTCCTCCGCCACTGCCTCGTTTGAGTTTTGGACGAAATGGATTCTGGCATTCGAAATGCATTTCGTCATTTCGAGCTGATTGGACCGAAACAGCCAATCAGATTTGTTTTGCATCCAAGTCTGTGATTGGCTGGTTTTGTGGCACATATATAATGGTGTACAGAAAGAGTTGAGCACACACGGGCAGAAATGTTGAGAGCGCAAGCAACACATTGCGAGCAAGTGCAAATGCAAAAACTGAGCGAGAGGGGCTGCTATTGTGTGTGTGTGTGTGTGTGTGGATAATAGCAAACACTGAAATACATTTTTTGCATGCAACAATGAATTTTGTTCACTCAAATTCAGCTTTTCTTCGCTCAAAATTAATTTCTCCTCAAAATGCAACACTTGCACCTGCAAATTTTTTTTTACGTGCGCTCAGAATAGTGGCACAAAAATAACGCCATATGTGCTCGGCTAATCAGTTTATGGTCTTATTGTGGAAATGATGGTCCTGTTACAGTCAAAAGACACCAGGAAAGAGAGGATTTAAGGCAGGGATAGTCACGTTGCTGTGTGAGTCTGCAATGTGGTTTGGTTTCTGCACCTCATTCCTTATGTCCGCATTTCAGAGACTAAGATGAAAGTGAAAGTGATGATCTTGAGGCTTCAAATGCTCACTAATATCATAGAGAAAAAGAAAAATGCTCACAATATTTAATTTAATGCTCGTCTGTTTTCAGATTCTAATGTCAACATGTTTTCCCTCTTAGATTTCATGTCCCTGAACACAATTTCTCATGTCTGATGATTTGTGTCCACGAACATAAAGATTTTTCAGCTGCTGGGACCAGACTGTGTAATTCAGGCAGGCAGTGTGTATGACAAGCGTTTCCAAAATCCCAGGAGACAGAATTCAGCACCACGGACAGCTCCACCTCTCCAAACATCCTCAAACTATTTTCCTCTTTTTTTGTATTCAGTCCCTTAAAAATATATATGTTGTGTAGTTTCAGCAGCAGTCTCAGTCCTGATGGAGGCAGCAGGAGTGAAAGCCCAGCAGACGGAGGCAGCAGTGGGCAGGAAGAAGTGGGATCAGCTGGCCGGAGAGCTGGAATCAGTCCCAGTTAGACTGAGAGGACAAAAAAATCACTTCAGAGACAACAAGGAGAACACAGAGAATGATCAGACACATAATGAATCTAGAAACATTGTTTCAAATGAAGATATTTTTCTTAGCAGCGGCATTAACTACCAGTAAAACATAAACAGAACCTCATTTGTTTGTTTTTGACATTTAAAGGTTCGTTTGCTGCAAAGTGTAGTTCCCTCAATGTCCACGTGAGGCTGCTCTGGGAGGTGTGAGCTCTTTGAGTTACAGGTGGATGGGGACACAGACGACTGGTGGAGACCAAAACATAAATGTTGACAAATACTCAGAAACAGTTGGTGATGTT